CACATTAACGCTACATAGATTGAGGATGTATCCCCACTGAGGATGAATATCATTTCTCTTCTTCATATTCATTAGCTATAAAATATTTAGGGATAGTATTAACTACATTTAAAAGTAGGGATGGATATAATACGAATTTATATTTTTTGAACTATTTTCAAATCAAATTATTTAAAACTATTTGGAAAACTTTCAATCAACCAAACCAAATCATCTTCAAACCAAATTCGGTTTTTTTTTTTTTTTCAAATCACGATTTTAACGACATACAAATATAAGTCTCTGTTTAGATTACAATTTATACATTCAATCAAAATCAATCTTTAATTTCAACAACTCATTCATAATTATAAATTATTAACAAGTGAAAAATAAATATCTTTTTGGATTCCATTAATTTCGACTAACTACTCATTCATAATTTATAAATGATTTATAATTCATTCAAAATGAAACATTAATTTCGACTACACATTTATAACTATTACTGATTATTATCCACACATTTTATGCTCACTACTATTCCTCTTATTATTCATTTATAAATTATCAATTAAATGCTAAATATATTGGTATAAAATTTCAATATGAAACTTAAATTGAAACTTTCTAAACATAATATTAATGTATTAATAAATTTGTCTCAGTTGGAGATCAACCCAATAAATTAATAAAAAAATCGACTATAAAATTTATGCTTGAAAATTCATTGTTTGTAAAATAGATAATATATATATACATATAAAAAAATCATAAATCATCATTTCCCCAACAAAAATAAAAGTCAACTAGTAAATAAAAATTTTGAAGTATAAATTGAACTATTTAGTTATATATTTTGAGTAAAATAAGTAAAAACAAAATTATTTGGGAGAATGTTTTTGTTGGATTCAAGCTATTTAACTATTGAAACTAAATCAGACCAGTTCTTGTTTCAATTGGAATCGAAGTGTTGACAAGTCTATGTAGAACAAAACCAATAGTTTCAAAGCAGTTTCGATTCGATGTTAATTTTTGTTCACACCTACTTACAAGTAATTGATATAATGCGTGTGTGCTAAATTCGTGTTGTACATGTAATTTAGTTCAATTAGGAAACTACACTTCAATTATTTAATCAATTGTCTATAATTTAATATACGATGTCAATCAGAAACTATAAGTTATTTGATTTCAATCAGATAACTAATTTAAATTTAATTTCAATTAAGACATCATTGTTTAATTCTTTGACAGAAATCAATGTTGTTACGATCAATAAATAATGGTAATCACACGTAACTGTTAATTGTTGGCGTGAAGTATGTGAAACTCCATTGAAATATATGACAAACTCCATTCACTAACTATCAATTCATCGATTTCTATCAATATAAGTGACGGAATTGGATGAAATTACTTGAATGAGATTAAATTATTGTCACTTTATTCACACTAGAATAAAGTATTGCGAAAGTAATTTATTTGTTGTATGGAATTGGATGGAATTTACCCTATTGAGATCAAATTAAATTATAGTTAACTGATTGAAGTACGATTATTTGATTGATACTATAGTAAAGTATAAATACTGCGAAAGTAATTTATTTATTGTATATCTAAAGATAAACATGTCTAACTAGAGTTAGGAGTGACAATTGGGTTGGACACCCCTGTGGGCCAGCCCATTGTGCGCTATGTTTATGTACTTCTATGACAAAGTAAAACTCTGATTTATCTACTCGACGCTCTATGGCAAAGCATAAGGGTAAGTACCTTGAATATCTCATGTTTCACATTTTAGGCGTTAATTAAAAAATAACTGTCAATTCAAAACAACACGAGTGGTCCTTGTCACCATATTGTCTGATATCCAATTTCACGACACTTACTCGGCTATGCCCTATCATGACATATACTACACATGCTTGTGACGTCGCATTGGCGAGCCGCGTGTTCACCTCAGTCTTTATCTAAGTATGTTCATAGCTAGATTCATGTTTGGCGAGGAACTTCCAAACACTGTTGATTTATATATGATAAGTGGGAAATCTAAAACAAAAAGTTTCTAAGATGATACACGACAAAAGGGCTGCACGAGCAACTGATTGAAGTGGTATGTGATTTTTTAAATAACAATTGTCCATAAACTTTCAAAATTTAAGCATGATTGACCAAAAGGGGGTCATCTTCTCTATTCATCAATCTCCATACATTAGAAATGATGGACGGACATTGACTCGTCTCAACAATATAAACAACTCAATTTCTTTTACTCCATTCAGTTAATTATGCAATACTCTATAATTTGCATATATAGAGTTGGGTACATTAATATAAAGTCTCTATTTGATTAAATGTCAAATAATCACAAATAAAAATAATAATGTGTCATTAATTGAATTACTAGACTTGACATGTTCACTTCTCATTAATGATTGAAATTTTATTACTTTACAAAGCTTCTTCCTATATACATAAATGATCCATCCATCTAATGTTTCAATTACAATGCATTTATAAACCCACCTAATCAATTCAACTTTTGAAACCTTAAAAAAATCAAATGGACTATTTTTTTTATAGAACAAAATAAAAGAACCCAATATTTTGTCTAACTCAACACGATTCTCAATAAATTCATATTCATTTGGACCATGACTACCTGTAGTCAGTTACAAAACCACTTATCGAGGTAACTAATGAGTCAGCTTTCCACTCACTTTATTTAATATTCATCTACTTTTTTAAAAATAAAAATCTGAACAACACTCGTTTTTCATGTCACAACAAGCCAAATTAATGCAATGCCTTTGACTCAAACGCTATTTACCTCTCGACAACCCCCAACCACCGAAGCAAGACAAAATTTGTTGCAGTTTTAGGTGAGCTTCAGATGAGGTCGAACTCATTTATTTATTCATTTATTTATTTTGTTTTTTTCAATAGAGTTTTAACGAAGATACAAATCTCACACACACATACTTTCAACTGTTAAACATTTGTTTCAATTTTAAATAATTTAACTTCGAATGTCATCGATACTGACTTAATTAGAAGCTTATAAAAATGAATGCTGAATGGAGTGAACTCCTCATCATCCAACACGGTGTGTTAATCACATTATAAGACATTAAGTTTTCTTTCGCATGTCAATAATATATTGAACAGATAATAATAAGCAAAAAAAATTGTGTCATCTATCCTCGTGCGTAACGCACCACAGCTAGTCTCGGTAACTTCCCAACCCCACGCGGGCCCCACAATCAGAAAACAAAAATAATTAGAATTATTTTACTCTACCAGATTTTGTACAAACTATCTCACATGAGGTGGGTCCCGAGGACCTAACTCATTAAAAAAACCCCCCAAAAAAGTTAAAACACCAACCCACCCCAACTCACCTGGCTGTGCCAGGTCTTTTACCGACCTGACACAGCAGCAGAACTCCAAAAAAA